ATTCACTATTGGGCGTGGGTGCATATTCGTGGTCGAACGCCCAATTTTCATGGGCGACCGTCTATTTTTTACCTGCAAACCAAATTCACTATTGACCAGCGCCCATAAGCAGATGCCCAAATCTAATTCACAAAAAGACACATGCCCGGAATCAGACTCACAAAGCAGACTTGCTAAGAAGCACGTCTAACACCATGAAAAATCACTGCAGAGACATGTTCACTTAGAAATTTGCTTTGCCAAATATTAGGACTTCACTTTAAACAATATCTGCTATTTCCAAAAAAATTAAGAATGTGTTAAAAAATAGTTTTTTTCAAGGAAATCGACACAGTAAAAATCTAGACTCCCGTGCAGTGTCTTTGGCCGATATAACTGAGCATGTGCAGAACACATTTTAGGTGTCTGCATGGGCGTTTGCTTTTTAGCCACTGCCTAATAGTAAATCTTACTGTGGATTCCTCTGACAGCCGACACTCGGTCACGTCTACTGTGTTTAATAAACAGCACTAAGCATATCTTCATGTATTCTAATTTGATTTCCTTAGTTCTAGTGATTCTATTTTTGTTTCTTATCCTTTATAATTATTTCTGTAATGATTTTACTTATTTTTGCAGGTCTAGATAATATTTATTTTGACAGCTGAATGTAAAAATAAAGGTCCGCAATAAAAAAAAAAAAAAAAAACAGCATGAGTCCCCCCTCTCATCCTTACCAAGCCCTTCAGGTCTGGTATGGATATTAAGGGGGAACTCCACGCTGAAATTAAAAAAATAAACAGCGTGGGTCCCCCTCAATATCCATACCAGACCCTTATCCAAGCATGCATCCCGGCAGGTCAGGAAAGGAGGGGGGAAGCGCGAGCGCCCCCCCCCTGAACCATACCAGGCCACATGCCCTCAACATGGGGGGGTGCTTTGGGGCAGAGGGGGCTCCCCCCCAAAGCACCTTGTCCCCATGTCGATGAGGACAAGGGCCTCTTCCCCACAACCCTGGCCGGTGGTTTGTGGGGGTCTGCGGGCGGGGGGCCCCCAGATTCCCGCCCCCCCCCCCCCCCCACGTGAAGGAGTCTGCGGTACATGGTCCCGCTACTCCTTCACAAAAAAAACAAAGTGTAGTGTAAAAAAAACACAGTACACAGGGTCTTTGACAAGTCCTTTATATAAAGCAATGTCCCCCAAATTAGATCCAACGTCAATCACGGCGGCGGCGGCGGGGACCCAAAAAAGAAAAAAAAAAGTTTCCCGCTCACATCGGAGGCTTCCAGCCTTGTGAAGAAAAGGATAGCTGACATTTCTTATATAGGTATGGAGCCGGGACATCATCCGAGTGACCCGCCCCATGTCACATGCTTGCTGTTCCCTAGGCTGGGCCCGCCCCATACCTATATAAGCACTGTCAGACTGTCTCCTGCATTCAGCTAGTTAGCCTCAGTGGAGAGACAGGGTGACATTTCTCAAATAGGTAAGGGGCGGGGATGATGTCCCCGGCTGGCCCCGCCCCTAACCTATTTAAGAAATGTCAGCTAGCCTTTATTTCAGACGGCTGGAAGCCTCCGACGAGACCGGAACTTTTTTTTTTTTTTTTCTTTTTTTTCGGTTTGCGCCGCCGCCGTGATTGACGTTGGATCTACTGCGGGGGACATTGTTTTAATAAAGGACTTGTCAAAGACCCTGTACTGTGTTTTTTTTACACCACACACCTTTTTTTTTTGAATGAGTTGCGGGACCATGTACCGCAGACTCATTCACGTGGGGGGGGGGGCGGGATCTGGGGGCCCCAGATTCTGATAAGCCCCCCACCCGCAGACCCCCACAACCGCCGGCCAGGGTTGTGGGGAAGAGGCCCTTGTCCTCACCGACATGAGGACAAGGTGCTTTAGGGGGAGGGGGAGCCCCCCCGCCCCAAAGCACCCCCTCATGTTGAGGGCATGTGGCCTGGTATGGTTCAGGAGGGGGGGGGGGCGCTCGCTTTGTCCCCCCCCCTTTCCCGACCTGCCGGGCTGCATGCTCGGATAAGGGTCTGGTATGGATATTGAGGGGGACCCACGCAGTTTTTTTTTTTAAATTTCAGCGTGGAGTTCCCCTTAATATCCATACCATATCCGAAGGGCTTGGTATGGATGGGAGGGGGGACCCACGCTTTTTTTTTTATTATTATTTGCAATAAAGGAAATTATTTTACATTCAGCTGTCAGTGGGGAACCCCGCTGACAGTTGAAACATTAACACATGGCTGTCGCTCCTACAATCCCGCATGAGTTATGTTATCAACTCATGCAGCATTTTAGTAGCGAAAACCAATGCAGCGCTCATGTTTCAGCTGTCGGCGGAGTTCCCCACTGATAGTTGAATGTAAAAGTATTGCAGGGAATTATAAACAATTTTTAAAAAACCCGGCGTGGGGTCCCCCCTCCCATCCATACTAAGCCCTTCGGGTCTCGTATGGATGTTAAGGGGTAACTCCACGCTAAAATTAAATATAAAAAACAGCATGGGGTACCCCTCAAAATCCATAACAGATACTTATCCGAGCATGCAGCCCGGCAGGTCAGGAAAGGGGGGGGGGGGTCGAGCGAGCGCCCTCCTACCCCTCCTGAACCATACCAGGCCACATGCCCATACCAAATTATTCAAACATTTGTAAACAGACCAATTAACTGAAATGGTTTGGCATTTGTACACCAAATATGACGTTCCCTGAGGAGTTGGTAAACCGAGGGTACGCCTTGTATTAGTATTGCAATCCTTTGTATTGGGATACATAGAACCAACATACATCTGAATTGGCAACATAGCACAACATTTGTGTCACATTGGAGATATCTGGCTAATTACACTGACCTTGCCCAGGGACCTAGGATTGATTCACAACACAGAAATACAGGCTGGGTTAGCAATGTAGCTCCGTGGATTAGTGTGGTTAGCACTACTGCCTCACAACTCTAGGGTTGTCGGTTTGAATCCCAACCCCGGCAAGGAAGTAGCATGATCTCCGTGTATGCCTGTCTTCAAATAGATCTAATGTGAAATTAGAATGAGGCCTTGTCTGTTGAAACACCTTCAATGCTGCACCTTATGTGAATGTCATACAATGGGATGAGATAAGGGCCTGGGCTACTATAGATTTTATAATGATGGTTTACACTCCATCCACTTTTGTGAAGGATTTGGCAAGCAAAGAGCTGACAGAGAGAGAGAGAAGAGCGAGCCATGAGATGAAGAAGACTGAGCGAGAGATACATACTGAAGAGATGATAAAGAGAGACATACAGAAGAGTGAGCGAGAGCGAGCCAGTGAGACAAAGAAGAGTGAGCGAGAGATACATACTGAAGAGTGATAAAGAGAGACATACAGAAGAGTGAGCGAGAGAGAAGAGCGAGCCAGTGAGACAAAGAAGAGTGAGCGAGAGATACATACTGAAGAGTGATAAAGAGAGACATACAGAAGAGTGAGCGAGAGAGAAAAGATTTGGTTGGTGAATCCACACATCAAACTTGTCACAAATACTGGCATGGATTTTTCCACCAAATGCAAAGCAGACCCTTATCCCAGCAGCAGGTACCGCACGCCTTCAAAGATTTATTTTCTTTGTTGATTTACCTGCTTCGTTCCACACTAGATGCAATTGAAAATTACTCTTTAAGTTGCCAATTTTACTGTGTTTTTCTAGAGAATTACTAACTAGTTGTGTTTTCAGTTGTGTGTAGCATTGCGATTTCTATTTGAGTCTAGATGTTAATTTTTAATAAATGGCCAAAATTTCAAATACCTTTGAACTCTCGCTGCATTAACAAATGGTGTATGTTTAATACACTCACATTCACATTCATTATATCCAATATCAGGGCACGATGTAAATTCACAAAAACACCACTGTCACATCTAATCCGATGCGGCAATTGCCCAACTTACAGTGAAGTTGCAAGATTTCACAATCCAATTGGATGTGAACAGAGCCTACAGTGGACAATAGGTGCAACTTGGTCTACGATTTGCAAGTCGCCTGTCATGCCAATTGCATGGCAATCGCAAACAATGTTACTGGGGCTACCCGGTCACATTAAAGCAGATTTCTAAGTGGTGTTATTGACACCACAGTCACATCATGTGACTTGCATAGAAGTTGCATAGAAGTTGCATGATTTCGAAGTCGGGGTACATGGTGATGTCAAGTGCAATTTGCAAGACATCCCGACACCGATCTCTCAGCAAATTGCATGAAAAGTAGTGTATTCATTACTCTAATTATTACTTGCGGCTCCTACCCAAGTTTGAACCACAACAATATGAACGCTCCAATAGCGTGCACATTGAGTGGGACTTGGCATGTGATTTGCACAACATGCAAGTTGTAAATCGTCTGCAAAGTCGCACCCTATTGTCTGCTATTAGAGCGACCATATGGGTGCGTTTCAAACACTGATTTCTTAAGTAGTACATGTACTACTTTAGTGGCAATTTGCATAGAGATCTGTGTCAGATGTCTTGAAAATTGCATTGAAATGGTCAACTTTATTGTCGCATGCTTTGTAAATCAGCTTTGCCCAGAGTGTAATGTTTGGTGATGTTGATTTCTGGAGTGTTTCGCCAATTGATGGGAAATTCACCACACTAGTCAAATCGATTTGTCATTTTCAGTATTGCATACAAGATGTGGTCATGTGACTGTCTTAACTCATGCGAGAATCTGGAGGGAGTTGTGACCATAGTAGCAATAAAGGTTCCAATTGGGGTTCCCTTTCACATCCCTGCTCAATGTTCTGTTGTATGCTGCACACGTACATTTCACTGTATATATCTTTCTGATTTGTGGGGCCTGTATACCAAGGGTTAATGCAGGTAGGAAGCGGATTCATCAGGTGAAAACACTTTCACTGACCAAATTAAGGTCAGTGGTGGGTGTAGGCTTAACTAGCTGCCGACCGCAGATAGCCGAATGACGGCTGCACTGCGGCCGGCCAGTTCTGAGTGGACGTCATATGACGTCCTCCCAGAACGCGCTCTCCTGCGCGCCCCAGGGGGTGCGCACCCGCGATCTCCGTGATCGCTGTGTTCTACGGACACAGCTGATCACGTGATGTGGTAAAAGGCCAATGACAGCGGCCTTTTACCACGTGATCACGGTGTCCAATGACACGCTGATCAGAGGGAAATGCAAGTGCCGGTATCTCGGCTGCACTTTCCTCACGCTGTCAGATCGTGAGGAAAGTACTGCCGGAACCGGCAGTTGTCAGAGGGATCGGCACCGATCATCAGGGCACTGACGATCAGTGCCCTGATGATCGGTGCCCAGCAGTGCCACCCGCAAGTTCCACCCACCTGTGCCCAGCAGTGCGCCCACTAGCTCCGCCCACCCGTGCCCAGCAGTGCACCCACCTGTGCCCAGCAGTGCACCCACCTGTGCCACTCTGCAGTGCCACCTACCTGTGCCCAGAAGTGCCACCTACCTGTGCCCAGCAGTGCCACCCACCTGTGCCCACCACCCTGTGCCCACCAGTGCCACCCACCTGTGCCCACCCACCAGTGCTGCCCACCAGTGCCACCCACCAGTGCAGCCCAGCAGTGCTGCCAGTCAGTGCCACCAGTCAGTGCCCAGGGGTTGTGCCAGTCAGTGCCGCCAGTCAGTGCCCAGCAGTGATGCCAGTCAGTGCCGTCTATCAGTACCCATAATCAGTGTCACCTATCAGTGCCGCCTATCACTGCTGCATATTAGTGCCGCTTATCCGTGACACCTCATTAGTGCTGTCTATCAGTGCCGCCTATCCGTGCCACCTCATTAGTACTGCCTATCAGTGCCCTTTAGTGCCGCCTATCAGTGCCGCCTATCGGTGCCCCATCAGTGCTGCCTCATCAATGCACATCAGTGAAGGAGAAAAAATACCTGTTTGAAAAATTTTATAAAAGAAACAAAGAAACTTTTTTTTTTTTTCAAATTTTTTGCACTTTTTTTATTTATAGCGCAAAAAGTAAAGCGCCCAGTGGCGATTAAATACCACCAAAAGAAAGCTCTATTTGTGAGAAAAAAATGATCAAAATTTCATATGGGTACAATGTTGCATGACCACGCAATTGTCAATCAAAGTGCGGCAGCGCTGAAAAAAGCTGAAAATTGGCCTGGTAAATAAGGGGGTAATAAGTGCCCGTTAGGCAAGTGGTTAATTGGGTGTGGGGCCTTGTTTGGCGTGCTCCAAATACAACCTAGCTTATATAAAGACGTGCAGTAGTGAGTGATTTGGCCTGTTACTAGGCCGTGTGGTTTTTGACTAAGTCCTTGCTTGTAGTGGTTTGGGGGAAGAAGAGATTTTGTGCTGAATTGCCCCAGACACCACCACTCAGGCTGTGTTTGGAAGTGGGCTGGAAACGTTTGCATATTTTCGTCCTTTGTAAAGTGTGTTTGTGTGTTATTGCACAATGATTGTTTTTTCTCTTTGTATTGAAAGCCTCACATATGTCAATCGTTTTGTTTAAAATCTGCTCTTGTTTTAATTTTGCTTGCTTATTTAGACTCCAATGCATTTTTCTGACAAACCTGCTGACAAATGTATGTGTAGGGGATTTGTAGAGGTGGGAGGGTTTTTTTTTTCACATGTCTTGTTTTCTTGATATTTTGATCTGTAGACTTTTTTTGTGAATGGCTCTTTATACTAAGTGATTGTGTAAGTAAATTTTATGTGTACAAAAATGTTTTATTTGATTCATCTTCCCCTTTGTTTCCTGCTATAAACCTGTGCACGCAGAGTTCATTAGAAGTATCTTTAGATTGTAAGCTCTTATGAGCAGGAGTGTTTTTATTATTGCCACATCAATCCTATTTTTTTGTGACTCACACCAAGATATTGACTGTACCTACTTGTTCCTGCTGACCAAATAAATGAAGATATATTTGATCAATAAATGTTTGACCGATGTTTTTGTGTTTATTTTATGTTCAATATATGAACAACCTTAATAGTACTTTGTATACTTATATAATCTGCTCAAAT